TCCCTCTGAGCCATAGTCTCTTCAGCTGTAGAGTGGACAGCGTCATAGAACCTTCTTGTAGGGTCGTTGCCAGAGTTAAATGATATGGTATATGATTCTTGCCTACACATTAATTCTCCGCGTTGAGTGAATGGAAGAACCAAGCATTCAGCCATTTCAACAAGTTTACATTTTATTATAGAAACAGTAGGGAAAGGTTGAAAGCAGTCTGAAGGAAGAGTTGTGGGGGAACCCCTGCAGATGCTCACTCAGCTACTCCCTGGGCCCTCAGAGGTGGCTTCTCACCGTGCCTCTGAGCAGACAGGTGCTATTCCTCGAAGAACCCGATTTATTATCTTCCACGTTGGCAGTCCAGAAGACAGAGAGCTTTCTTGGGAGGTGAGAATACCTGAGAGATGGAGGGCTGGTGAAGGCTGAGCTGAGATGGAGCAGGGTCACTAGAAAGAACAGCAGGGATCACTTCTAAGGAAGGAAGAAGGGAAAGAGAAATGTATTTGTGCATTTGTTGAGGTCTTCATGCATTCTCAAACTCCTCGTCCTCCACCTCCCACCTGGGGCTCTGCCTGACCTGCCCCAAGCCCACCCCCTCCTACCATCATTCTAGACCACTCTCCCAACTCACTGTGTTCCACCAACTTTGTCCCTAAACCCACCAGGCTGTTCCACTCCCTGGAACATGCTTCCCTCAGATCTCGTTGTGGCTGACTCCTCCCCATCACTCAGCACAAATGTCTCCTCCTCAAAGAGGGGCTCTTCTAACCACCCAGTCAAGCTGCCCCCTCCGTTTGCTGTCTGTCACAGTGCCCTGTCAGGCCTTCACATAACTCATACAAGTACGACTGCTTGTTTACTCCCTGCCCTCCATGAAAGTGGGACCTCCTCAGCTGTGGCAGCTCTGTACCTGCCACCTGGCACACTGGAGTTGCGCAGGGGTGTGTGGGGAGCGAACATATAAGGTTTGCTTCTGGGAACTGGAGTCCCAGGGATAGATCAGGTACACTTCTTGCTCCCAGAAGAGCTAACAGTCTGGTGCAGAGGTCCTCAAACTATGTCTCAGAGAGCTGACTCCAGCCTGTGGCCCCCCCACTTTTTTTTCAAAAAAGATGATTGGTAAGGGGATCTTAACCCTTGACTTGGTGTTATCAGCGCCATTTTCTCCCAAGTGAGCTAACCGGCCATCCCTTTATAGGGATCCGAACCCGTGGCCTTGGTGTTATCAGCACCGCACTCTCCCAAGTGAGCCACAGGCCGGCCCTCTGTGCCCCTTTTAATAAAGTTTTTCTTTTTTGTAATTGAAGTAAAATGCATATAGTATAAAATTCATCATTTTAACCATTTTAAAGGATACAATTCAGTGGCTTTTAGTATATTCAAGAAGTTGGGCAACCATTACCACCATTTAACCCAAAAAAGAAACTCTTTAAGCAGCCACTCCCCCATTGCCTCCTCTCTCTCAGCCCCTGGCAACTACTAATTGGCTCCCTGTCTCCATGACTCTGCATATTCTGGATATTTCATATAAATGGAATCATACACTATGTGGTCTTTTGTGTCTGGCTTCTTTCACTTAGCATATTGTTTTCAAGGCTCAACCACATTGTAGCATGTGTCAGTGCTTCATTCCTTTTAATGGCTGAATAATATTCCATTGTATGGATACACCATATTTTGTTTATCCAGTCACCAGGTGATGGACACAGTCAGGCCCATCTGTTTATGTATTGTCTATGGCTGTTTTTGAATATAACAGCAGAGCTGAATAGTTGTAACAGAGACCATGGCCTGCAGAGCCGAAAATGTTTACCATTTGGTCCTTCACAAAGAAAGTTTGCCAACCTCTGGCTTAATGGGTCAGATGAACGCTATTGTACCAAAATAAAAATATGGTGTGACTAGTGGTTGAAAGTATAATTGAGGAGAACCTGAAGCACCATTCACCACCATTTATTTTATTCAACTGTCTTCCCCAGTGGAATCGGAAGAACTGGTGTTGGCTTCCAAACCAAAGCCATGTTCAGGTGAATCTTGAGGACTGAGGAGGAGTGTTTTTAGACAGACAAAGAGAAATAAATGCTGTTCTAGCTAAAGGGACCAGTATGTGCAATGGCATAAAGAGATGAGAAAATGTGGTGTTCTCAGGGGAATCATAAATGGTTTAATATGGACAGGGTGGGGTGGAAGGTGGAAAGAGATGTGGAGAAAGGGTAGAGAAACAGGAAAAGTCCAGAACCTGAGAATCCTTGAACACATGCCAAGGAGTTGAACTTAATCAGGAACTGCAGGGATTTTCTACCATGTTCTGTGAAACCCTGGGATCCTTTAGGGATTCCGCAAAGGTTTGCTTTGACTCTCATTTCAAGAATGAAAATATGTTTACTAGTTGTGATAAAATGTAGCATGTGCACTAGACATTTTTATTCACTGGAGACCTACACCAACCTGTTGCATGTTTTNGCCATATTTTGTTTATCCAGTCACCAGGTGACGGACACAGTCAGGCCCATCTGTTTATGTATTGTCTATGGCTGTTTTTGAATACAACAGCAGAGCTGAATAGTTGTAACAGAGAACATGGCCTGCAGAGCCGAAAATGTTTACCATTTGGTCCTTCACAAAGAAAGTTTGCCAACCTGTGGCTTAATGGGTCAGATGAACGCTATTGTACCAAAATAAAAATATGGTGTGACTAGTGCTTGAAAGTATAATTGAGGAGAACCTGAAGCACCATTCGCCACCATTTATTTTATTCAACTGTCTTCCCCAGTGGAATCGGAAGAACTGGTGTTGGCTTCCAAACCAAAGCCATGTTCAGGTGAATCTTGAGGACTGAGGAGGAGTGTTTTTAGACAGACAAAGAGAAATAAATGCTGTTCTAGCTAAAGGGACCAGTATGTGCAATGGCATAAAGAGATGAGAAAATGTGGTGTTCTCAGGGGAATCATAAATGGTTTAATATGGACAGGGTGGGGTGGAAGGTAGAAAGAGATGTGGAGAAAGGGTAGAAAAACAGGAAAAGTCCAGAACCTGAGAATCCTTGAACACATGCCAAGGAGTTGAACTTAATCAGGAAGTGCAGGGATTTTCTACCATGTTCTGTGAAACCCTGGGATCCTTTAGGGATTCCTCAAAGGTTTGCTTTGACTCTCATTTCAAGAATGAAAATATGTTTACTAGTTGTGATAAAATGTAGCATGTGCACTAGACATTTTTATTCACTGGAGACCTACACCAACCTGTTGCATGTTTTTCATGCAGACCTTGGAAAAATCTCTGTTACCCGAGGAGTGTGCTGAGATCACAAGGTAAGCTGTTAGATAACTGTTACCGTCTGCAACTACTTATCTCTGTGGGTTAAGATTTTTCTCCACATAGGACAATCAAAAGAAAACACTGGAAAAAATTGGATGATAAAGGCTAATATAAGATGGCAAAGACCATCTGTACCTTCCGCTTGCAAATCTCATCAGTTGTCTTCATAATAAGTAAATGTTACCCAGTTAATCTTATAAAAGGTATTTTTGGTAATAAAAAGCCACTTTACATTTTTTATATGTTGGGATCCTATGAAAGATTTCATTAGAAAAGTGTTCTGATTTTATTTTCTTTTAAAGTTGGGAAACCACTGATATAGTTGGTGAGGTTCCACTGTTGGGCTTTAAGCAGGGATGCAGAGGTTACGTGATCGAATTTGCATTTTTAAAAAATGAGCACTCTGGCTGCTGGACAGAGGATGAAAGTTAGGCAGGGCAGTAGAGACCAGGAAGGAGGCTATTTGTAAACACCCAGGTAAGAGAAATCTCATATCTGTTCATTTCTCTTCCTCTCCATCTCCAGACCTTGGCCTAGCCCACGATGTCATGGAGACTAAGTAGCCTCTTAACTAGTTTCTTTACTTCAAATCACTGGAACATGTCCCTCTCCCACTGAAAGTTTTTCTGTGGCTTCCCATGACTCTTAGAACCGAGTCCAAAATGCTTGCTATGGTCTTCCAGGTTCGGAGTGGTCTGCTTGTGCACAACCCCCAAACTCCTCCAACAGTGTTCTCTCACGTCCTACCTCTGCTCCAGCCTCAGCCCCAGGCACTTCTAGGTCACTTTCCACCAGGGTCTTTGCACAAACTGGTTCCTTCACCTGGAATCTCTTATCTGTTTTCAGTCTGGCTGACTACTCCTCGCGCTACAGATCTTTGATTTAATGTCACTTTCCCCAAAGAGGCTTTTCTTGACCACCCAACAATCCAGAGTAGAGTTCTTTGATTTTCTTCCTCATAACATCCTGTGCTTTTCCTCTGTAGCTCTAAGTATAACCTGTAATCACCTATTTATTTGTTTTCTGTCTCCTCGTGAGCACAGGAATCTTGTCTGCTCTGTTTACCACTAAATCTGGGATTCATCAAAGAGTAGTTGCTCATTAAAAATTTGTTGAGTGGGTTTCTCAATAAGTTAAACATAGAATTATCATATGACATAGCAATTCCACTCCTAGGTATGTAAAATAATTTAAAACAGATGTTCAAACAAAAACATGAACATGAGTGTTCAAAGTAGCACTATTCACAATAGTCAAAAGGTAGAAGCAACTCAAGTGCCCATCAATGGATAAATGAATAAACAAAAGGTGGTCTATCCATGCAAAGTAATATTTATGAGGTCCTTCAAAAAGTTCATGGAAAAATAGAATTAAAATATAACACAAATGTTTTCGTGAACTTTTTGAAGGACGCTTGTATTCAGCCATAGAAAGGAATAAAGTACTGACACATGCTACAACATGGGTGAACCTTGAAAATACGCTGAGTAAATAAAGCCAGACACAAAAGACCACAAGGTATATGATTCCATTTATACAAAGTGTCCAGAATAGGTGAGTCAGTAGAGACAGAAAGATTAGTGGTTGCCAGGGGCTGGGGGAACGACTACTTAGTGGGTACAGAGATTCCAATTGGGGTAATGAGAAATTTCTAGAAATAGTGGTGATGGTTGCACAACACTGTAAATGTACTAAATGCCACTGATGGTAAATTTTAGGTGTACTTTGCCACAATTTCTAAAAATTCAAAAGAAAATTTATTGAGTAAATTCATAAATGAATTCCTCCAGCTCTGTGTGAATTCCTCCACCATGTGAAATGTGTTTCATTGGCCATGTCAGGCCGTGGCTTGAAATTAAGGGTGATGAACTTGCAACTTTTCATACAACTCTGTGATTCTAGGATTAGAGGCTTCAATCCCACCTTCAGTTCCCTACCTCAAACTCTAGGCAATGGGACAAAGCCCCCCGCTCCAACCCAGCAGCGGACAAAAGCCCCTTCCCCCCATAGCATACCTGAAATCCACTTCTGGGCTACAGTAGTGGCAGTAACACTTGGGTGGTTGACGAAGGAGTGAACCAGGAACAGAGAAGGAAACAGTCAGGGTGAGGCAAGTCAACTTCCTCCCCTCCCTTCCTCCCTGCTCCTCCCCTCCTTTATTCCTGCCCTTCCCCCTCTACTCCTCTTGTCCTGCTGTGGCATCTCGTGGTCTTGCTGATCTATTCGGCCTCACCTCTCACTGCTCCCATGGTCTGCTACGTCTCCCAGCTCGTTCTCCTCATCACGTGAGTGGCGCCATTCCCTAGCCTGGGATTTCTCAACCTCAGCAGTGCTGACATTTTGACCTGGATCATTCTTTATTATGGAGAGCCGTCCTGTGCAATGTGAGCTGTTCAGCAGCATACCTGGCCTCTACCTACTAAATGTCACTAGCATCCCTTCCTCCAGTTGTCACAACCAAAAATGTCTCCAGACACTGCTGAGTGTCCCCAGGGTGACAAAGTCGCCTCCATCTGAGAGCCACTAGTCTAACCAAGGGTTCAAGTCAAAGTCTGGGGCTCATCTCTGTGACCCTCCATTTTGCTCATCTCTCACACTCAATCCATTAGCAGTTCTTGGAGAACTGCTATAAGGTTTTCCTTATCTGCACTACTGTCACCCAGTCTCCTGCGCTGGCCCTTAGACCTCCTTCTCTCAGGCTGTCTGTTCCCACTCATGCCCTGATTCCAACTGGCTCTCCACACA